TAGGGTGTGGCTAGGTTTCACAATGAGCTCACCCGAAACCTTGGCTGATTAGATAGAGGATCAATAGGGGGTCCACGACCCTCTCAAGCTGGGCTACACAGGGCGATTTTTTCAGTCACGTTATTCAGCTCCTGCTCAAACTGCACGATTGACTGGCAGAGGTTAGAAGTTCATAGGTCACGATGCAGGTCTCACACTATACGGCCCGATGCTCTGATGCGACCTGAGTAACACTGTGCGTCCATAACATGAAGCTTATAACAGAAAATCTGTCGCTCGCTCTCCCTCTCTGTCTTTCACTCACACAGACACACCACCACCATCAACTTTGCTAAATTGCTAATGAAAAACATGATCAGGCAGCTGTGATTGAGCAGCAGTGTAGATCCAACGATTTTCAGGGTTGTTGTGGTCGTGATAATTTTGTGAGGCCACATCGAAAAGGCTCGGAAGAGCCATAGTTCTACAAGTTGTGCCTCCATCGCTTGTGTCCAGGTCACACGCTGCACAGCCGTGCTGCTCCGTCTTTTCACTTCCATTTCTGTGTCTGCGCAGTGTGAGAGGCTGCGGTGACAGCCTCACGACGGCCGACAGGATTTCAAACCAGGTTTGATTTTCTTACGACCAAGCGATTGATGATCGGGAGCTGGTCGTGAGGTGTTAATCGCTTCTCGTTACCCCACGTATACTACACGATGCACGACGCACGATGAAGGCGAAACTCGGGCCGATCACCAAAACGGTCGCACGACTGAAAAATGCTCAAAATGAGCCAAAAATCGCGTGTAAGCCCAGCATAAGGGACATCTCCCAGTAGGTCTTAAAATCTGGGACTCTCCACCAATCGCTCTTATTACTGAAGAAGCTTCTCGGATGAAACGCAGTAAATAGTAGTCTGTCCTCTGGTGTTGTACCTGTGAATCTTAAACATGCAGTGATTCAGCCTCTACTTAAGAAACCTGCTCTTAATCCTGATATTATTGCAAATTACAGGCCTATTTCCTACTTTACCCCCAAAATTCTTGAAAAGGTGGTTTACAAGCAATTAATGTCCTTTATAGAAGAACACGATACTTTAGAAGTTTTCCGGGTTTTAAAGCTTTACATAGTACCTAATCTGCCTTTTTAAGAGTTTTTAATGATGTGTTTTTACCAACTGACTCAGGTGTGTTATTATCGTGCTGTTAGATTTAACTGCTGTCTTTGATACAGCGGATCATAACATTTTAATTTCCCGTTTAGAGCAGTTGGTGGGTGTTAGCAGTGCTGCTCTGCAGTGGTTCAGATCCTGTTTGGCAGAGCGGATTTCTCTGTGAAACTCGGGGAGTTTGCATCCTCTGCTGCTTCTCTGCACTGTGGGGTCCCACAGGGTTCGGTTTTAGGCCCGCTTCTTTACTCCCTACATCTTCAACACCTTGGCTCTATTTTCAGGAAACATGGGATTTCTTTCCACTGTTGTTTCCCACTTATAAAGATAAATGGCTTCTCAGTAGACCCTCTGTGTAGATGCCTTGATGAAATAAGGGCCTGGATGGCTTTGAACTTTTTACATTTTAATGAGCAGAAAACAGAAGTGATGGTTCTTGGTGGCGCTTCTGAGGCCACTACTATAGATCTTGGTTCGCTGGCACAGTATGTTGAACCAGTCATCACTGATCTGGGAGTTAAAATGGAGGCAGATCTTAAACTTGAAAGCCAGGTCTGTTGTAAGATCTCGCTTTTTTCATTTGAGGCAATTAGTCAAAATACAGCCCATCTTATCGAAACAGCTCTTTGAGACAGTAATCCATGCCTTTGTTACATCTAGGCTGGATTATTGTAACACGCTTTATTGTGGGGTTAGTGATGCGTCCATTAGGCGTCTGCAGGTTGTGCAAAATGCTGCAGCTCGTCTTTTAAGTGGAACAAAACAGTCTGAGCACATTACCCCATTTTTAATTTCACTCCTGTACATTTTAGGATTGTTTTTAAAATTCTCTTGTTTTTAATTCCCTTAATGGCTGACGCTTCACCTCAGCAGACAGTCTGGCTTAGCACCTGCTCCTGTGTGGAAGGGGGTTGGAGGATGCACGTGAAGGAGGAGGGGGTTGCAACGGTGGCCTTTTGTGAAGTGATGGGGGAAGGAGCGTCTGTGTGACTGCGAGAACAGATCTGATTGTAAAGAGCGCCGATGTGAGGAGCAGTGTGGTGAACAGACCAGCGCTCAGACAAAAGCACATGAGTTGGCTTAGATATGGCAATTATAACCACGGTGCTGTATCTATGGGGGCGTGTCTCACAGCTTACTTGGTACGCTCTTCCTTTGTGCCGACTCAGGCGGCATGTTTGTCCTTTCACTGAAATACATTTTAAAGACATGTTTCATTTTAAGAACTTTCAGAAGAAGCACAAAGAGCTGACTGTAAACCGGCACCACCAATAAATCTGAACTAAAATGAAGTGAAATGGCCTTTAATGACTTATAGGACATGGCAGGGCTGTGGTCTCTGGCTCTGCTACAGTGAGCCAGGTGGAGGGAATTAGGCTGACCAACTCTCTCCGGCGAAGGGAGGCGTGTGAGAGCACAGCTGCAAGCTGCCCTGGGAAACACGAGGTGCCGAACAGGAAGCTTGGTGGTCGAGGTGGCGAGGAGGAGGCATCGTGTGTGTGCAAAATCTGTACAATAAAGACAATTTAACTGTGAACGCTGTGTGGGTCTGTGGTGTTCACAGAACAATCATCAAGAAATACAATAATATTCCACATTTAAGCTTAAAATGTCCCGTGTGTAAAAACACATATGTGTAAACAGACACTATCACTGCATACCAAAAACATCAGATTCCTTTGAAAGCATTGATCATGTAGCTCGTTCCTAGCACTTTCCTTCATACAGAGAGAGATATTTGAAGGATTTTGGAAAAGTTAAAGCTTTCCTCCACATGTAAAATACATTTTTACCTGATCTAGTCTGACTGATGCTGACTGATAACTGCTGCTGTCTGTTTGCTGTAGTGGTGTGCGGATCGATACTGAAATGTCGATTCTTCTGATACCAGTAATTTATGTTCTAGAATCGATTCTCATATTAAAATATCGATATGTTAGTACTCTGGAGTAAATTTGTAGTTTTTCATTAACAGGAACACAGTGGAAAGAAACTATATCATTCGGATCGTCTAAATTGGAAGGAACTACTTCCTCTTCCGCCTTTCATATCATGTGTGAAACACGGCTGTATAACTGTGTCACAGCCCCTGGTGTGCGCACTCACAACAATGGCTGAGTGTAATTGGAGTCATGTGTGGACGTATTTTACCTCCACAAACAGCCAAGACGTGGTTTGTGATATATGTGGCAAGAAAGTGAGGAGTTGTGGCAACACCGCTGACCTCGTCAAACACCTCAGAGTAAATCATATCACAGAATATGACGAGCTTATGTTGAGGCGAACTGAAGAGGAGGACAGGAACAGGTGGAGGACAGGGACAGGTGGAGGAGAGGGACAGGTGGAGGAGAGGGACAGGTGGAGGAGAGGGACAGGTGGAGGAGAGGGACAGGTGGAGGAGAGGGACAGGTGCTGCTAGGGCGAGACAGACGTCTCTCACAGAGTCCTTTAGTGCTGCAGGCAGGCAACGTGTTCAAATAGCACAACTTCAGGTTTTTATTTCTATATGATGAACTCTGCATCATTAAGCAATGAGAACAAGTAGTCTGATGTCCTGTAATCATTATGAAGCTATATTATTATATTATTATTACAATTACATAATGCAATTCTATGTTGCATTATGAAATACAATGAAACATTACGTTTTGTACAGAGTATCCAGGGTGGTATCGGGTCAGTATCGTCGATACCACCCTGGATTTTACTTGGTATCAGATCGGAAAGGGAATCAGTGGAATCGCACATCACTAGTTTGTAGCTGCCGTACAAACATGCGTGTCAGAGGTCTCTGGTTCCTGGCGTCGTGCAGCGCACCAATAATTCTGCTTTGTGGAGAAAGTGTGAATAAGCATGTTTGCGCTCTTCCTCAGAGGATCTAAAAGCTCATCCACGAGCTCCTCTGGCTGCTCGGATCACAGGATCTTGTTTCACATGAGATCGTGTGATTGTTGGCCTGTTACGGCCTGTTATATAACAGCGAGTGTCCAGATACCTGTGAGATCTTTCTGCTTGCCACACGAGCTGTCCGATGCAGGCTGCTTTCAAATTTCATCAGAAAGAGAAAATCAACCTTGTACATCATTTCAGCTCATTTCTAGCTGCTGCTGTTTCCAGTGGCTCACTGATGATGGATGCACTGATTTCATGGCGGGGACCCTTGGTTACTGATGGTGGAGCTCTGCCAGGAGCAGCAGCTTCCTGAGCTCTGATTGGTGAACGCTGCTGTCTGCTCTGCTAGCATTGGCTACTTCTACATATACACTGGTCTCATTACATTCAAAACTCCACCCTTCTGTAGAAGGAAGGGGGTGGCAGAGGGTGTAAAGTGGGCCGTGTTGTCCCTCATTGTTGTCTTACAGGCTGGCTTTCTCTTTAGCTACTTTGTTGTTTCTAAGCTGCAGTGGTATTGTTTCTGCATTTACTTGGATGTAGCTCAGGAGGTCGAGCAGGACATCTACAAGCCTGCATGCCAGATATCCTTAGCAGCATACTCATACCAAGTTGCTCTCTGAAGCAGGATATAGAACAGAATGCCTTTTACTGTCACCATACACACAGTGAGATACAGAGCAGCTCCCACTCAGGGCAGACATATGAACAGTATTTTAAGTGTACAAATATACAAATCAGGAGAAATAAATAAATAGTGTTATATGTTTACAGTGTGGTTTACTGCACAGTGGTGCTCGTATGAATGTGTGAGTGTTGTATAAAGTGCCATATAAGTATGCCCAGAGAATGCAGCAGGTGCTAGAACTGACTGCATATATTAAGGCTGTTGAGTACTGCTGGGTGTGGACAGGGTAGGGTCTGCCTTACGATGAGGCGGCTGTTGTTGTGATCGGGCGCTGACATGACAACGAAGCGGTCCTTACATGCACCTCTAGCCTGCACGTACCGCTGTCTGTCAGACAACACTCAGGGCAAAGTGCCATCTGGCGCCTGGTACCCAAACACTTTGTTAAAGCCGCTTGATAACGCTGATGAATGAGCGCGCTCTCTAACTGATGCCTGTGAGGACGAGTGCACGCTGACACCGCTTTCAAACAGGACCTGTTCTTTTCGGATGCTCTGAGGTGAGCGGGTGAGTGATCCTCGGCATCACACGAGCTGCTCACGCACACATCCAGCGCCATTTGCAGACAGGTACACCTACCGCCCCTTTTATTGTCCCACGCTCAGCGCCGGGCTGTAGTGTTGACTGAGTCACGGCAGCAAAATGCAGGAAAACGGGTCAGAAAAACAGCGTTAGTGGAGTTTGGATGATTTCTGCATGGTAGAAGGTCGTGTCTGATGATACGGCGATGATGTAACAGCATGAGCGGATGCACTACTTCTTTATCCGTGACCACCGCAATCCGCGCATTCGTGTTACACAACCAGCGCACCAAGAGATGCTTCCGTTTCGTGCTTTCATACATTATGAGCATGAACAGCACCGCGCTCTGGTACCCAGGCCTGCAGCGCTCACAGCAGAGCGCATCATCATCATCATCATCATCATCATCATCATGAGGACTGGACTCTTTGATTATTGTCCGGTGAGACGGAGAAAAGTTCTTCACTTCAGTTCAAGCGCAGCAGAAGAAAGCAACGAGGTGTGGATGCTCTCGGTGGTTTTATAGCGCTGCTGTCTGCTACATGCTGCCACGTTCATTGTTGTCACAGCACATCAGACACATCTCACTGCTACTTCATATTCATTCAGTGTTCCAAGTCAGACACTAAAACAAGGCGAAGAACACGATCCACGTCTGCACTGTTTCTCAAGGTTGTGGTGATTTTATAGTATCTCTCTGCAGTTTTGGTGCGTTATTAGGCCTTCAAAAATTTCACTGTCAAAGAAGCAAAGTGTGACTGTTGAACCTGTTCAACTGCTCATTATCACAAATATCTAACTCAGCTGTTCAATGTGGAGACATGTCAACGTTCAAACAGCGTCAGTATCGTGGTGCCAGCAGTAACTCAAATAACACTCATAATAACCACAAAGCTTCAAACCGTGCTGCAGATGGGTGACAGCAGCAAAGGCACAAGGTGCTGATCTGAGACCAGCGAGCCGAGCTCACAAAGCTGGACGAGCACAGGAACATATTTCATTCTGTGACCAGCAGTGTTGGTCAAGTTACTTGAAAAAAGTAATTAGTTACTAATTACTGATTACATCTCCAAAAAGTAATCCTGTTACATTACTGATTAAGTAATTAGCTACTTAGTTGTTTTTCAAAAACATGATTTACAACCTGATTATGTAATAAAGCAACAGTGTTACCTTTCAGCCGTGTTCGACTGTTTCTGCATAATCCATCATATGAAACTGAATCCAATGAAAAAGTTTTATTAGTTTTCATCTTTTTAACTTTATGCATCAAGCAAATATTAAATTATCTGCAACATTCTCTGACTGGCAGAAACGTGTTTAACATGGAAACCTATCGTCTGCATGTTCCAGCAGATAAAATCATGTTTTGTGTTTACACTCTTTCAAATAGATGCGAGTAAAACACAGCAGAAAATAAATAGAATCAAAGACTCAGCAGCTCTTAAATCTATTGCCACCTGTTTATCAGGAGTGGGGCGGGTGGAGGTTTGCCCACAGCGGTCATGTCAGTGGGGGGTCCGGGGGTTTCTCTGTGAATGTCACGTTGCCGTGGCGGCACGCTCGCTGCTTGCTCAGATTTGAAGTTTCATTTTTTCGCTGCAGAAAGAAGTTTCCTTCCCACACAGAGTGAACAGCAGACGGTGATGTTTGTGTCACTTTTAACAGATTCAAACTCACAGTAATCTGATTACTTCCACACTTTAAACGCTGCACGGTCGTACTCTCTCCATCACTCCATGTTATCCACGTCTGTTGCTGCCACGGACATCACACGCTCGTACGTCATTGTCACGAGACACTCTCACAAACAAAATCACAGTTTAGTAACGCTGTAACGCAGCGTGCTTACGGGAATGTAACTGTAATGTAACTACTTTTTCTGCAATAGTAATCCCTTACTTTACCTGTTACTTGAAAAAAGTAATCTGATTACAGTAACGTGCTACTCATGACAAACACATCGAATGTGTCCACCTAACCGTAGGGAGGTTCTTCTTCTGACCTGCTCACTTTCAAACTCCTTCCTCTGCATCTCGAGCACTTCTGATGAGATCTTGTCTCTCCAGGATTTTTGTTTATTTATTCGTTAATGAAAGTTTTGCTACATTTCATCATCGTTTATTTTCCTTCGATTATTAGTGTTTATTTAGTTATTGTCTTGCTTTCATCAGAAAGAAAGGTCATTGATAAAAACGATTGTTAACTGAACGATGGTCTCTGCCTGCCCAGCCCTCAGATGCTCAGAGCTGTGTGTTGTTTCTATGCTGACTGCCTCCATCGTTGTCACTGATGCCTGCTGATTCGGTGTGACCCCATACTGCCCTCTCTTCACACAGATGCTGTGCATGGATTCACGTGTTTTTGTGTTTCAGAACTTGTTTTTCCTTCGCTGGATAACGATGAATCCTTGCCACAGATTCATCTGGGTCAGGTCGAATTCCATGTTTTTTTCTCTCCCCAAACACGGTGGCACTGTGTAGATCATGAGTGTGTGAGGAGGGAGGCTCATGCAGTAGTTACTGATTAACATCAGCATCCTCTGTGCTCCACATCTGCACACTGCAGCCTTTAATCCCACCCAGATTATTTTAAAGCCGCTTTTAGCGCTTAAACTCAATTTTAGCGCTCTGACACAGGCTACCGTGCAGTCAGAAATACAGATACACTTAAGTACGTTTTACTCTTTGCTGATGTTTCCGGTGAACCAGGCCTTCCTTTCAGCCTAAACCTTAGCACCTCTTGTAAACTGCTTGGTCTGTCTTGTCATATCACTTCATGTCACTGACCTAATTTGAACCTAGAAATCCACCTAATGATACTGTGATTGTTGGTACTGGGCCACTATGTGCCCAAACACAGGCCTCATGCCTTAAAATCTGTGTCTATATCTGTACTTTCAGACAAAATCAAAGACACCATTATATAGTTTGACTGTGCACTATATAAAGCATTTCTACCACTTCTTGGCTCTGTGATCTCACTATACGCTGGCTTATTTAACCCCTCCTCCACTTGCCCTTCGAACCGCCGTGGTGGCCAGCGTCGAAAATGCCATCGGTCGGTGAAGAGGGACCTTCGAGGAACGTTGAATCCAAGATCGAACATGGCAGCTAGTCGATGAACGACGAAGAGTGAAAATCGCCCGGGATCAGACGAAATGAACAACAGCAAGCCGCAGAGGAGTGGTACCGACGCCCCGATTGGCAGGTGAAGCGAAGCTGTCGAAGGGATAAACGCAAATGGGTCGAGCGGAAAGCTGCTGATCGGAAAGCTGCTGATCGGAACGATACGAGAACGCTATTCCGGATCGTGTGTGATCTTCACCTTGACAGCAGACCTCTCCTCACGCAGAAAGACCACGATAAGCGCTGGGTAGCACACTTCAAAGAACTCCTGAATCAACCTGCCCCAGATATGCCTTTGTTGGATGATGACTTAGCCAAAAATGATGAACTCGTTGTGGACACTGGTGCCTTCACTTCTGACGAGACCAAGGCGGTGATCAAGTCTCTCAAGGGTGGAAAGACAGCTGGCGCTCTACAGCACAGCGACTGCGGGCTGTGACGAGCATTAGACATGGAGCCCGAGCAGGTTATTGTGACATAATGTCAGTAATACTGTGTCTGTCTTTCCACACCTCAAACAGAGAAGACAGAGAAGTGTCTTATAACCATTATAATGGTGCCAACTGGTGCTAACTGGGCCTTCTGAAAATTTTAAATGTAAAAAGTAAGTGTGCTTTAAAACACATGTCGATTATATTTCAGCAGCAGTCACTTTTATATCGTTGCTCTTTTAGAAAGCCAAATATGTCTCATGTCACAAATGTATCTCTTTGTTATCCTTGTAACTTTCATTTATACGGATTCAGTATTATTCTAGTTAGTTGATGGTGTTCGGCGTTTTATGCTTGAAGCATAAACTGTACATAAAAGATGGCCACCGTGATGTCACCCATTGTTTAGCGAGGTGTGAGGTGCTGAGCCGAGTGTTACACTGTTGCTATCCTGTTGTGTTGCCACGTGTGAGCAGCATGTTCCTGAGAAACTCTGGGCCAGTGCTTCCCGGTTAAAGGGTCACCTTACAGCGCATCATCTTTTTTCATTTATATTCTTTTTGTTTTTAGACCATATTTTTCTAAATGAACATCATTTTATGTTCAATATTCTAAATCGTGGAGTCTTTTTTTTCAGGCCTACACCGTATTCATTTGTCCCGTACTTGACTAACTCGCCTTTAAACTGAGCTGAGTTGCCTAATTTCGGTTAATAACTCTTTGGGAATCACCTTGTTATGTTTTGTTTGTCAAACTGGGTTATCTTTGGCATTTTTCATAGAACCACAGAAATGAGAAAAGGTCTGTGCGGTTTTTTGGTTGCTGGTAACATAGAGCCTAAAGATACAGTTTAAGATGTGTTGTTTGCTGAGTTATGTGTTAGACACATCACAGGTTCATCCTTTGAGTTCGGTGTGTTTTTTATGTTTGACTGATTCATAGGTCAACAAAACAAAACACTATTGTCCTGGCGACGGTGATATGTTCAGGGACTGGACTGAAAATGAGTTAAAAATGTAGCCAATGTCCAAAGAAACACCGAAAGGCTTTCGTTAAGAACAACGGCTCAACTCTGCTGAAACCTCTTCCTTACTTCCTGATATGCTCAGTGTGTTTGGCAACATCATTTCACACACAGCAGCACAAATTAAATCTGCATACTTTTTCTTTATCGCACCAAACCGACCATGTGAACTGTAAAATACAGCGTTTAGCTCTCATCACAGTCGTCAGTGTACCTGGAGCTGTGGCACTCTGTCCTGTCAGCACTCGTGCAGCTACGCCCGTGTCCACTCAGCACTGTGGGCTGCCAGCAGCTTCTGGAACTTCATGTGCTAGTCGTGTTGGCTCTCCACCTTTAATCTATGAGCATACCTTAAAATAGTATCAGAGACCGTAAGCGTATCCAAACACTGAGGCTGTATAG